AAAAAAAAAAGAAATGAAAGGAAACCCCTCTGAGCAGAACTCTTTGATCTCAGGAGTGATATGGAAATGAAGGGAATTCAAATTAAGAAAACGGAAGTGCTCTGGGCAATCATGGAGCCAACATTAAATGTAGCTGCATTTCCAGCAAACTCCCCAGGCTGAAGGGGGATGACGGGGGCGGGGGCGTAGCCCTAACAGAGGAGACTAGTGCAGAGATCACGTTGCCCCTCCCTGCCACGCCTTGGCTGCAGTGACTGTCAGTTTCGTTTTCCAAATCCCCACGATCGGGTTTCTAAGGAGGGCAGCTCATTTAGGGAGCAGGAGCAAAGGAAGATTCGAGGGCCTTCACTGTGGCAGCGAAAGACCGGGTTTTGTACTCAAAGACCCGTGGGCACTAGATCGGTGGTTCTCAGCTGGGGGCCATTTTCCCCTCAGGGGCTTTTGGCACTGTCTGGGGACATTGGTGCTTGTCACAACTGAGGGAGGGTGCCACTGGCATCTAGTGGGCAGAGGCCAAGGAGGCTCTTAAATATCCTGCAATGCACAGGACCGTTTTATCTGGCCCCTGTCGTCAGTAGTGCCAAGGCCAAGAGCCCCCTGCTGGCTGAGCCCGCTGAACCAAGCTTGGCGTGGTTGCTCCTGTCTCCCTCCGAGGCAGAAGTTCATGGAAGGTCACGCCCATGTCCCTGCAGTTCCTGGAGTCTTGTGATGCAGTCATTTTGTTGGAGGAAGGCGAGATCTGTGAGCAGGGGACGCACCAGGAGCTAATGGAGGAGCGGGGCCGCTACGCGAAGCTGATTCACAGCCTCAGAGGGCTGCAGTTCAAGGTAACTCCCGCACGCTGCGGAGCCGGGCGCCATCCCTGGGACTTCTGCCAGGCGGAGGTTCTGTCATTCTGCTTTCAGGAGCAATTTCATTTTGTCTGCAGGATCCTGAACACATTTACAATGCGGCGATGGTGGAAGCCCTTGCGGAGATCCCTGTGGAGAGAGAAGAAGATGCTGGTACAATCAGAGTTCGAATCCCGCCTCTCTTGCTGTCCTTGGCTTGTGAATGGACGCAGATCTCTCTTTATTTCTCACCCTAGTTTTGGCTCCAGGACATGAGAAAGAGGAAGGAAACGAACCTGGAACAGACTCAGAACCTGTAGACACAAAAGGTGTTTACCATTTGCACTCATTCTCTCCGTCACATGCTCTTTAGGACGCGCTGGGCAGCCCTGGTTTGGGACGAAGGGCAGCACGGCGGGAGCCATTGCGGGGCGGCTGGAATCGTGCGGTCTGCTGCAGCGTGAGCCTGAGTCCAGATTTCGGCTCCCCCGTTTACTAGTTTTGTGATCTTGCGCAAGATACTCGACTACTCCGAACCTTAGTTTCCTAGTCCCTGAAATGAGGAAATGATGTACCAGCCTCATATGTTCTCATACAGATTAAATGAGAAACGTACTTAAGGGGGTTAGCACAGTTACTCTCGGTGGTTATTGCTCTTGGTTGGAGAGGCCGAAGCGAGGCACAGGGGCTGCGTCTCACTCTTTACGGGCAGCATTGAGCAGGGATTGTGAAGCAGGGAAGGGGTTGAGGTGGGACAGTTATTCATTCTTTCAACAAATAAGGACTAAGCACTCTTACTAAGTGCCAGGTACTACGCCGGCCTGGGGTGAGAGAGAAGAGAAACCTGTGTTCTCAGGGTCTTATGGCCTGGTGGGCGTCTCAGGTGGATGGATAATCATAGGAAATGGGCAAAAGTGATGGAGAGTTGGGGTGTGAGGAACAAACAAGTCAGGGAGGGCTTCACAGAGGGGGTGACCTTGGGACTGGTCCTTCATGGATGCGTAGGAGTTTGCTGGGGACATTGCAGTGAGAAGGTGGGAGGGTGTGAGGTTGAGGGCAGGAGGAGATTCCAGGAAGGCAGGGAGGTGGGAGGTGAGCCCGGCAAGGGCCAGGCTGGTCAAACCGTCTCTCGCCCTCCTTGCCCCCTGCTGCCCTTTGCTCTGGCATCCGTTTCACATTCCGGGAGCACCCAGCCGTGCCCTGCCCTGGGCCACACTGAGAGGGCAGCAGTCAGCATTCCTCAAAGCGTGCACAGCCAGGTGGCTTTCCACGTTACAGTTCTGTTCCTCAGTAATGCGTAGCTGAAAAAAGGAACTTAGTACTTTCAGTCAGATTTACGATGCCATGTATTTTTTTAAGAACACTATTATTTTACCTACCACTCGGAAAGAAAAAATATCTCTGCCAATTAAACGTACTATCGATTGGAAGGCGCATCCAGCTCTCAGAGATGTTAAAATGTGGGGAGGAGAAACGTGAGTGTTTGAATCGATGCAGTTTGGCACCATGGACGGCGCCTGTGACAAACGCGTGCACGTTGGGAAAGACCACGAATTTCCCCATTCCGGAGGCTTCCGAGGCTGAACTGAAGCACCCAGACGCCTTTTCAGAGAAAGCTTCGGACTACCCAGGGTTTGGGGTCCTGTGGAGGGAGTCAGCCCTGCTCCTCATTTCCCCGCCACCCACCCTCCCCTGGAGAGGAAGGTGAAATTGTGAAATTCGACTCTGGAGTCATGCCTGGTCCTCAAGCACAAACAGTCGGACTGTCCAGTGCTCTGAGCTGTAGGAAGCGAGGACGCTCATGACGCGTGAGCCGTTGAAGCCAGCGCTGCCTGCTGCCCACTGCTCGGCACCCGCTACCCGCTGCCCACTGCCCGGCGCCGGAGCGCCTCGCGCAGCGAGACGAAGGCTGAGCAGAGCGCCTGGGCCTGCGCGCGGGGTGCCGATCGTTGGGCTCTGCCCACGCACAGAGGCGTCGCCCCCATTGTGCAGCGCCCGAGTGAGACACAGCAGGCGAGAGTCAGGCTGAACGTGTTCAAAGGCGCACGGGTTCCCAGGTGAGAGTGTAACGGCGGCTCTGTTCAGCCGGGTGCCTTTGAGGAGCGAGAGCCGTCCCCGTCGGGGCGGGGTGCAGAGCCCGCAGGCGGGGGCGCCCCTCTTCTCACTCTATTTGTATCTGTGTTTATGAGAGCCAGGCATGGCTCATGATTCTGCTTGGAGCTGGCGTTCTCATCTTCTCCGTGGAGAGGGAGGACACGTGCGTTTGCACTGGCTGCTGGGAGCTGCGTCCGCCGCATCCCTGCTCCTCTGCGGTGCTGCGTCGGTGGGAGCTCGACAGTCATTCCCCCTTCCCTGGGGAACGGCGAGGACTTGGGACAGCTACGTGGAGGCAATCAGGTGGCCCTGCAGGTTTTCTCCTGCGTGGTGTGAGCTCTGAGAAGACGGGAGCCGCCTCCTTCTTTGTCGCCTGTAGCAGGTGATGCGGGGGCCTGACCATGTCAGCCTGTGCGACCCAGCTGCCACCTCTGCCTTCCTTTGCCTGGGGCCCTCTCCAGGAGCTGCCAGCCACAAGTCGAGCTGGAAGTGCTGGGGAATTAACACCCCCAGGGGAGTGATCCTCACCGCATAGCCAATAAGAGCTGGTATAGAAAAATCCCAGATCCTTCCTAGCATGTGGAAAAACCCTGAGGTGTCGGTCTACACTGGCTCTGAGATTTCTCCACATGGGATTAAGCTCTAGTTTTCCACAGTGGTTGCTGGCGGGGTGATACACCTTTTTTTTTTTCTCGCTGTGTTGTCCGGGCTAGAGTGCCGTAGCGTCAGCCTAGCTCACGGCAACCTCAAACTCCTGGGCTCAAGCGATCCTCCTGCCTCAGCTTCCCGAGTAGCTGGGACTACAGGCATGCACCACCATGCCCGGCTAATTTTTTCTATATATTTTTAGTTGTCCAATTAATTTCTTTCTATTTTTTTTTTTTTTTTAGTAGAGATGGGGTCTCGCTCTTGCTCAGGCTGGTCTCGACCTCCTGAGCTCAAATAATCCGCCCGCCTCGGCCTCCCAGAGAGCTAGGATACACCTTTTATTGTTGCCTTCCTTCCCAGCTCCGTTTAGCTCCCAAATAAACTATATGTACTCATATCCTCTTCTTGGGTGCTGCTTCTGGGAGGAACAGATCAAGGCAACCCCTTTTTCCCTAAGGCTGAGCACATAGTAGGTGCTTAATAAATACTTCTTGAAAGATGGAAAGCCTACTTCACAGGGCCGTACTGAGGATCAAATAGAGTAAAACGAGCAAGAGTGTGTTGGGAACTCGAAAGCACAGGGCAGATGAAGGCGGGCCCTCGGTGCCCTGGGTGGCGCCATGGGGTGTGCGGGAGGGCGTGCCTGCCTCAGTGGCCCCACACGGCTGCCAGTGCCAAGGCCTTGTGTTTGTCTCTGCAGTTCCTGTGCACCAGCTCGTCCAGACCGAATCCCCCTGTGAAGGAGCCACGACCGGGAAGACGTTTCACACCTACATTAAGGCTTCTGGAGGTTCAGTATAAAACAATGGGTTTCTTGATTTAATTTGCATTTTAAAAATCCTGTCTTTAAACTGTTGGGTTCACATTTTATGATTTCTTTAACAATTACTCTCTTTATGCTAGAGCCATTTATCAATGCTTTTATTTTTTTCCTCCCTCTAAAAACTAAAGTCTGATAATACAGCCTTTTAAATGGAATCATTCTTTATCTCCATTAAAGCTGCCAGACTCTATTTTATTGAAGCGAGTGAGCAGCGGCGAGAACTGGCTACGGTTCTTCCACACCCTCGCGCCCCCACCGCCGGGCGCGACGGCAGGCAGCCCGCTGCCTGCTCTCCACACAAGCGTCCCGTCTCGGTGTGCAACACGTAGCTGCATCCCTGTCTCTCCCCAGCAAGACTGGGTTTTTACTGGTTTGCTTTAAAGACTACAGTGTCACTTGTATGAAAGTGCGTGTTGGTGGTTTTTCCAATATGTTCACAGTATGGACCCATTTTCCAACCAGGTGGCACAGATGTCCCCCCTGGGGTACAGGCTCAGCACTCAGATGTGTTGCATCAGCCTAGAAGGTGGTTCCCAGGGGCGGGGGTCCTTCTCCTGAAGGCGTTGAATTTCCCGTCAGGGTTGGGCCCCGAGGAAGGCAACGCCACGGCCCTCTCTCCTCCCCTTGCAGGGTACCTGCTTTCTCTCTTCGCGCTGTGCCTCTTCTTGCTGATGATCGGCAGCTCCGCCTTCGGCAACTGGTGGCTGAGTCTCTGGTTAGATGAGGGCTCCCAGGTGAGTTTCCCTTTGGCATTGGAAGCGTCGAGTCTGTGTCTTGGAGTGAAACGGCTGCTGATGGAGCGTCCGGCGCAGCCCGCGCCGCACACTGAGGTTATTTGCACCCCTCTCCCCTTTTCAAGAAGCTGAGTTTGGTTGTTTGTGCCACGTGACTCAAACCCTGAAATCCCCTTCGATTTTTCCAGACAAGCAGGACGTCTGGATTTTTAGATGCCAATTTTAGATTTTAAAAGGGTTGGCTGAAAAAGGCACATGCCACAGCGTGTCTGCGGGGTCCAGCATGCACAGGACGGAGTCAGTCTTGCCGCCTCTGTCGTGCGTTCCCTCCAGGAAAGCCTAACGCAGCCGAACACAGATTCGTGTCTTCCTGCCTCTTAAGAGAAGCTGGCATCTTGTCATGGGCGTTGCCCGGTGCCAGAAGGGTCTGCATGGCTGCCTCCCCAAAGTCACTGCTACAGGAATGGGATGGGCAAGCATCAGACTCAGGCCCCGCAAATGCCAGAGGACCACCAGGGCCTTTCTCTGCAGGGCCTCTCTGGGGAAGAACTCATAAGTTTGCTCTCCCTCGAGCTTGCTGGAAGCTCTCCCAGCTTTTGGCCTATGGTTTCAAAGCTTTTCCGGAGCCCCAGAGAATGCCGTGGGGACGCTTGCCCATCCACCCAGATTACATTTGGTACAGTCCTGTCGCTACGACACTGGGGCACTGGGAGACCTGGGCAAGGAGAGGCTGTTTGGCACGAGCTGCCTGAGGGCATTCCCAAGGCTGGCCTGCCCCGTGCAGAAATCGGGAGCCACCCCTGGAATAGATGTATTCTGTGTATTCAGATCCTCACTCGCTCCTGAAGAGTCCCTTCCTCGGAGAGCCCGAGGTTTAGGGTCAAGGTGGAGCCTGCTCCCAGGCTTGCTGCTTCCCTGTAGGCCGGCTGCCGCGGCAGATTGAGCACGCGGTGGCGGCGGCTGACCTGTGTGCTGGCCCCGATCCCCCGACACTGTGGGCTCAGCCCAAGCACAGCAAAGTCTCCCCTTCAGGCCGGGCCTTTCCTCAGCCAGCTCCCAGGGATGCTTTTGCTGTCACGGATGTCACCCATGAGCCACCTCTGGTTTACATTTCTGCTATTACTGAAATCAGCGAAATGGCATTTAGAAGAAAGATACTTGTTTGCTCCCCAAAGGCAGTCTTGACTTTTCACACACAGCCCAGAGAAAAATGGAACTGCCAGTTTCTCAGGGGGAGGAGATGCCTCTTCCCAGAAATGCTGGCAAAATTGCGCGTCTCACCGGGCAGGATAGAGCCGCGGTTTCTTCGGGCCTCTGAGAGCCCCGTGTTCCCCAGGCTCCTGCCCCCCCAGCTGGGGATTCCAGGCAGTGCTCCCGCCCCCAGCCGGGGATTCCAGGGCAGTGCTCCCGCCCCCAGCCAGGGATTCCAGGGCAGTGCTCCCGCCCCCAGCCAGGGATTCCAGGGCAGTGCTCCCGCCCCGGGGGGAACTGACTTGATTTTACACACCTGACTCATTCTCAGCAATTATGCATTTCTTTTTAGTTTCTTCTCTGCGGAAAATTTCCATTCTCCTGACAGTTTACCAATTCTTGGTGCTTCTCTTGTTTTTCTCCAAAGATGACCTGCAGGCCCCTGAGCAACAAGACCGTGTGTGAGGTTGGCGCAGTGCTGGCGGACGTGGGGCAGCACGTGTACCAGTGGGTGTACGCCGCGAGCATGGTGTCCATGCTAGTGTTTGCCATCACCAAAGGCTGCGCCTTCACCAAGACCACACTGAGGGCGTCTTCCGCGCTGCACGACAGCGTGTTTGACAAGGTACGGCCACCAGGCGCATCCTGTTGCCCAGGCCACAAGGTTTTTTGACACTCATTGTGTGCCAGGCACTGTGCTGGGCTCTGGGGACAGACACAGCCATCATGGAGAGTGTAGCCTAGTCTGGGAGGAGTGTCCCAAGTAGCTCAGTACCAGCCATGAAGGCAAATTCCGGGGAGCTGTGGGGTGTGTCACC